CTCCGCCGGGTCCAAAGCTCTCACCCCTTTTCCCCTCCCCCACACCCCCCAAGTCCTGCGGACCTGGGGGCTTCACAATCTGGAGCTATGAAAAGTATCTCTTCAGTCACTTCCGGTAAGAGCGCTGCGGCACGGAGCTACCCGCGGGACCATTAAGGAGACGTTGGGAGTTGTCCGGGAGCAGGGTGAGGAGAGCGCTGCCTGGCTTGGGGTGAGAGGGAATAAGAGGGAGCAAGAGAGTGAGGGGGGCCGGAGCGTGAAAGGGGGCCCGGGAGAGTGAGAAGGGGGAGCGGGAGAGTGAAGCGGGGCGAGAGAGTGCGGCGGGGCGGGAGAGTGAGGGGAGCGAGCGAGGGGAGAGAGCGAGCGAGAGCCCTAGAGTCCGAGCGTCTAGAGCACCTCGGTCGCTGCTTTCCCGCCGCCTGCCAGCTCCTCCGCCCCCCTGGAGACCGCAGTGCTTCTCTCCGGTTCTGACACCGCCCCGCTCTCGCTGCCGCGTGACCGGAAGTAGCGCCATCTTTAGCCTCTCGTGCTCTCGACAATAACAAGCCCCGGCTCGCTCCCCCTCCCCCCAACCAGGGCAGCTCCCCTCCCTCCTAGAGGGAGAGAAGAGGGGAGGAGCTGCCGCCTCACAGACTCACTGAGTCGCTCCTGCAGCAAGGGGGGGAGAGAGAGACCGAAAAGCAGGAAAGGCGGACGGTTTGGCCGTTTACCTGTCTGCCTTCTCATTCGCTCTCCCCCCTTGTTCTGTTCGCTCCTGGTGTCAGCCTATCCGCCTTCCCAAACCCTCCCATCCCCCCGGTGTAACCCCCCCTTCACTTTCCTTCTTGTCCTCTGTGTTTCTCCTCTCTTCTTTCTTCCCTTCCCCCTCTAGCATTGCCACCTTCTCTCCGACACGCACGCAGGCACATAAACGTAGGTTTTTGATGCTCCTCTGCCTGTTGACCGCGCTATTTTCATGTTTCCAACAGGTTTTTCTTCCCCCAATCCCTCAGCTGCTGCTGCTGCTCAGGAGGTCAGATCTGCCACTGATGGTAATACCAGCACCACTCCGCCCACCTCTGCCAAGAAGAGAAAGTTAAATAGCAGCAGCAGCAGCGGCAGTAACAGTAGTAACGAGAGAGACGACTTTGATTCCACCTCTCCCTCCTCTTCTACTCCTCCTTTACCACCTAGGGATTCGGCATCCCCTTCAACCTCGTCTTTCTGCGTGGGGGTTCCCTTAGCTGCTTCCAGCCACGTACCGATACAGAAGAAGCTGCGGTTTGAAGACACCCTGGAGTTTGTAGGATTTGATGCGAAGATGGCTGAGGAATCTTCCTCCTCCTCCTCCTCATCTTCACCAACTGCTGCAACATCTCAGCAGCAGCAAGTTAAAAATAAGAGTATATTAATCTCTTCTGTGGCTTCAGGGCATCACGCTAACGGCCTGGCTAAATCTTCTACCACCGTCTCTAGCTTTGCTAACAGCAAGCCTGGCTCTGCTAAGAAGTTAGTGATCAAGAACTTTAAAGGTAACCAAGGCTAAAATCCATAATCACCTAAGAATTTGACACTTGAGCAGTCACGTGCCTATTTATGTTAATATATTAAACTGATTAGAGGTGGCCTAATGTTTTATGCATAATCAATGAGGTGGAGGGAGGTCCTTTTTTGGGTGGAGGGTTCATTTTCCGGGGGTGGTTGGTATCCTGGTGCTGAAGCATACACTGGGTGTTTCTGTGCAGGATTTTGAGATCTATCTCAGCTTATTGTAGCTAATCTGTTATTCCTTATAATATTGACATTCGGTATGAGTGATCCGGATTTTACAGGTGAGAGATTTATATTCTAAAGAGCTTTCTTTATTTCAGGTACATAGTCTTGGCACTGCTAGGATTTTTAATTTTTGTGCTCCAGTAGGCCACATTCTCCAGTTTCTAGAAATGCAGGTAGCAATGATGATCATTTCAAGCTCAAAGATTTATAGTTAGATTCATGTTGAATACTGTATTCTTGAAACTCACTGTGGAAGCAGTATTTGGAGAAAAATATTTATGACCTCTGCATTTCTTTCCAAAGGTAGGGTTTGGAAGTGAAAAATGCTGTATATACTCAGAAGTAGTAACTCTCTTTACCACTAGTCTAAAGATAGGAAAAATTACTATACCTATATTTTATCATTAAAATGGCTTTTAAAGTACTGACCTGCAGCTTTTCAGAACATTTGTTCATTTTTCTGTTTGATATATGTGATTGAGAGTATTATGAATACATTGATACAAGTATAAAATTAGCGATTTAAAAAATGTCAATTGAGCTGCATTAGTTTGCATCTGTTGGCTGTGTTTCTATTTTTCTGACTTTTTCAACACTCTTAACTGGCAAGTAATAGATGCTAAACTGTTAAATGGAGAAGTAAATGAATGAACTAAAGTAATTACCAGATTAGTGCCTTGTGACTAAATATCAATATTGGGAAAATAGATTTCCCATGCTTGTGTTTTCAACATTAATTTGGAAATCAGGAAATGCTCTATTTTGTCTCAAGTAGGGGGTTATAGTGTTTATTTTTAACCTTTTCTTTTCTGTCACTCCTCTTCCATTCCCAGGCTCTCAAGAGTGTTGTAATCTTCTTAATTTAATAGTAGACTTTTCTGAAGTAGATATAAATTACAATTGACTAATGTGTTCACTGTTTCACTTAAAATACATTGTTTTAATAGCCAAGGGTTTTTTAAGGGATGAGCTATGATCCTAATGCATTTGTATACTGGTTTCAGAGATTTTGTTTGGATTTTTTCTCTCCCTCTTAAATAGAAAACATTATTAAAGCATTTAGATGTTTTAATTAAAAAAAATACTCGTTGCTAATAAAGGAAATTTAAAGCCTGGATTAATATGTTCCTTTCCTTTCTGAAAATACTACATAGGTTCTGAAGTCATTGGGGTGTTTTGATTTTTAAAAATTTCACTGTGCTTATAAATGTAGTTTAAATTCAAACCTGAATTAAAGATGGTTGTCTCCATTTATGTAGACCCTGCATAAATGTGGGGGCCAAAGAGACTTGGATTAGAATCCCAATTTTGCCACTGACTAACTATAGTGACCTTGGGCAAACCTTACTCAAATCATCCAGCCTCAGTTTTCTCAGTTGTGAAATAGGGAAAAAGATACCTTGCTCAAGGCATTATTAGAAAAATTAAGATGTTTATAAAGTACCTTGTACATAATAGGTTCTCAGTATTTTAAAACTCAGGTATAAAATTCATGTTGACTGACTGAGGTTTTACACATGATGGAATAAGATCAGGATTGCTTTTTGTATTTGTCATTCTTGAATTTTTATTTTTTGAAACAATACAGTCAATAGTAGAAAGAAACCTCACTTTCAGTTTTAAAAGGTGACTCAAAATGACTTAAATAGTATTCTCCCATTTCAAACTTTATTCTTTATACTAAGCCTAAATACAGCGGTTACTTTACTATTCAGGTGTAATAATTATAAAGATCACAATTTACCCTTAAAAAGTAGTAATATTATTGTATTTTATGGATCCTTCTGTTGCTCTGATAAGTTGTGTTACTCTACCCTACATATTATTCTGATACCAACTTTTTATATATTATCTAGATAAGCCTAAATTACCAGAAAACTACACAGATGAAACATGGCAGAAACTGAAAGAAGCAGTAGAAGCTATCCAGAATAGTACTTCGATTAAGTACAATTTAGAAGAACTCTATCAGGTATGTATTAATGTGGATAACCAGCTTTGGTCAGTGTAAACTGAGGTGGATGTATATGACTTTTACTTTATGGTTTTACATTTAGAAATTTTTTCAGTTTTAGTTTACATTTAATATTCTGTATTAGTTTCATGTGTATAGCATAGTGGTGAGACAATCATATACTTTACAAAGTGTTCTCCCTAATATGGGTCCTTATGTAGCCTTTTGGCTCCCCTCAAATTACAATTTCTTATTAATTTATGCACACTTTAATAAGCTATGGGTACAGTCATATTGGTATAAATTGGGCTTATCTCCTGATTAGGGTTTACAATTAGGAGTACTTTCATATAATAGAGTTTTACCTATACCTGAATCCCAAAGGTGATTTCTGGTGACATGTCCTTCTGTTGTACTTGCTAAGTTGTGTTACTCACCTATGGGAAAGGCCTCAAAAAAATGCAGATATTCTCCATATACATTTGTCTACCTCCTTCCTGTTAGCCTTTTGACATTTCTTTTCTTTTTATGTTCTTCTTACCTTCTGGGACACACCTTACCCAAAAAAATGAGCTGCAGGTTGTAGCCTAGCAACTTGGCGTGAGGTCCAGGTTTGTTTTTCTTGCTGAGCAATGGGTCTGTACTTGAAGTGTTTAATTTAAATATACTCTTAAGAACAATTAATAATTTAGACTTCTTGCTACCAACTTATTTTGTCCTACTGAATTTTTAAAATTGATTTTATGGAAAGGAAGGGAGAGAGAAACATAGATCAGTTGCCTCCCGAATGCGCCCCGACCAGGGATAGAACCTGCAACCTGGGTATGTGCCCTGATCAGGAATCAAACCTGCCACCTTTTTGGTGTACCGGATGATTTTCCAACCAATTGAGCCACATTGGCCAGGGATGCCTTACTGTATTTTTTTAAAATACATTTTTATTGATTTCAGAGAGGAGGGGAGAGAGAAACATCAATGATGAGAATCATTGATCAGCTGCCTCCTGCACACCCCACACTGGGGATTGAGCTTGCAACCCGGGCTACTGCCCTGACTGGGAATCAAACCATGACCTCCTGCTTCAACCACTCTCAACCACTGAGCTATGCCAGCTGGGCTGCCATACTATATTTTTGACACAACCAATTCAAGAAATTATTTCGCATTATAGCAACAATTTTGTATTCAAATATTTCAGACTCCAGTAGTTAGAGTTTTTACATTAATAAGTAGCTTGTAAGAAATTATGTTGGGTTGATCATAATTCATAGTTTCATATATGTTCATTTTATCTATTTATTTAAATATGTTTTTATTGATTTTAGAGAGAGAGGGAGGGAGAAAAACATGATTGGCTGCCTCCTGCATGCCCCTGCTGGGATTCAAGTCTGCAACCTGGGCATGTGCCCTGAGGGGATATCAAACCTGTTCCCTCTTGGTACATGAGAAGACACTCAACCAATTGAGCCACACCAGTCAGGGCTCATCTGTACATTTTAGTTGCAGAGGTAGTATGGTGATTGAAAAATCCTAGATTAGGATCTAGTTTTGATTGCAATTACCCTTTTGATCTTGGGCAAGGAACCCGGCTTTGGTTTCCTCCTCTGTAACATAGGGGGAAAAATACCTGTCCTATTTACCTCATGGGTTGCTTATAAGAATCAAATAAAATGTGAAAAATACCTTGAAGCACTATGATATATAGAAATATAAGTCAAACTTATTTCATAAGCCAGTGTGGCCTTTTCACTTGTGATTTGTCAGTGGTGAGATCACCATTTTCTGTTGCTGTGAAAATTAAATGAGTCAATGCATGCAAAACAATAAGAACAATGCCCAACACATGGTAATAATGCTGTATAATACCATAAGCATTACAGTGTTGATACCTTATGTATTATAATGCTATGTGTCAGGTAGTAGTAGTAGTAGTAGTAGTACCTCAGCTGTTGCTTCAGGATAAACCCACTTCATTTGGCTAGGTTGGTAGATTCCTTACATGGCTCCTCATTTGTACAACAATAAAAGTAAAATTACAGAGTTAAGAGTTAGGCCTTAAGAGATCATGTGGTCTAATATCTTCGTAGAGTGCACATGGCAGCCTATAAAGGTTCATCTCATATCATTTAAGCATTATAGAAACCCTTTGTGAAGTAGATAGGGTAGTAATTATTATCCTTATTCTACTAATGAGGAAACTGAGTCTCAGGGAAGTTAAATAATGTGCCCATAGTCATATATTGATACAGCAGGGGACTCAAATGAAGATGCCCAAGTTTCTGTTTCTACTTCAGTGCACTTTTCCTACCATGCTGCCTCACCAATACACCATAGCCCTTTAAATAGTGCAGTGTTTAAAGCAAATATTTTTACTTTAGGAGAAAAGACTCTGTTATCAAAGGTGATTTTTTTTCATTTGTGCATATATAGGGTGTTTATTTGGATACACTGTGTACAGCTTCTTTAATTTCTATGACGTACTTTTTTATCTTTAATTTCTTTATTGGTTAAGGTATTTCAAATGTGTTCTCATCCCCCCATTAACCCCCAACCTCCCTCACCTCCACTCATGCTCTCATCCCCATTGTGCGTGTCCATTGGTTTGGCTTATATGCATGCATACAAGTCCTTTAGTTGATCTCTTCCCCTTACCTCCACCCTCCCCTACTTTCCCTCTGGGGATTGATAGTCTGATTGCTGTTTCTCTGTCTTTGGCTCTGTCCCTGTTCATCAGTCTATGATGTTCTCTATATTCCACAAATGAGTGAGATCATGTGGTATTTATCTTTCTCTGACTGGCTTATTTCACTTAGCATAATGCTCTCCAGTTCCATCCATGCTGTTGCAAATGGCAAGAATTCCTTCTTTTTTTACCACAGCGTAGTATTCCATTGTGTAGATGTACCCAGTTTTTTAATCCACTCATCTGCTGATGGGCACCTATGATGTACTTTCTTTAGTTCATATTTATGACATTGATTTTGGTTGTTAATTTACTTTGTTACTTTACCTTGAATATTTTTCTAGAGCTTTTGGGTTCAAAAATATTTTTTCTGATACATTGATTCTGTTAAATCCATTTGTGTTTTAAGAGCACATAGCTTATATTTTTATGTTTTTTGTTTCTTGTACTTCAGAATTATTACCTGCTATTGTTCAATTGCATTGTTCTACCTAAAATCAGTGTTATAATTTTTAATTAAATATATTTTTATTGATTTCAGAGAGGAAGGGAGAAGGGGAGAGAGAAACATCAATGAGGGGAGAGAATCATTGATCAGCTGCTTCCTGCATGCCCCCGACTGTATCACACCCTGGGACCCTTCAGTCTGCAGGCCAAAGCTCTTAACTACTGAGCCAAACTGGCTAAGGCAGTATTATAACTTTTCACTATTTGCTTTTTTCATAGTAATTTACTATAGCTGCTATACTAAATTTAAAAGCAGTTGTGTCTAGCTCTTTTTTAAAAAACATTTTTTTAATTGATTTCAGAGAGGAAGAGAGAAACATCAATGATGAGAGAAAATCATTGATCAGCTGCCTCCTGTACGCCCCCTACTGGGGATCAAGCCCGCAACCCAGGCATGTACCCTTGACTGGTATTGAACCCAGGGCCCTTTAGTCTGCAGGCCGACACTCTATCCACTGAGCCAAACCTGCTAGGGCTCTTTTGTTGTTGTTTTGAACATATCAAGATTTTATTGTCGTATAATAAAACAAAATATGACGCTTAGAACTGGATCACTTGACCCTTTCTCTTCTTATCTCCTCCCAGTTCAAAATGCTTGCATCTCTTAATAGCTAGCATTCTCTTAGATCTGCAGTTAGGTTCAACGAATTCAAGCCTCAGCACAATCTTCTTTATAGTTTTAGTCTTTTTTCCGAAAATCGGCTTAGTTTGCCCACCATAGCCACTCTGCTCCCTGTCATAATGCCGCTTTCCCCTGCACATACAGAGAATCCTTGCCCTTATCGTACTGTGTTACTTGGTGGGGTTGGTGCTTGCCACACTTCTTACAGAAAGTTCGGCGGGTTTTAGGAACGTTCACCATGTTTGCAAGAGCTCTATTGGCAGGGAAAGATCTTTTGTTGTTTTTTATCATAATTTTATAAATGCTTCTTTGGATTCTCAGAAAGATTATTTTGAGATGTTCAAGTTCAAAAAAGGATAAAGGAAGTAAAATTATTTCATACCATCTGTATTTCAGGTGTTTGTTTGATTTTGACTGGTTGAAATGTAATTTAAAATTGAAACAATATAGAAGTATATAGTGTACCAAACAAAAGTTCTCCAAACCTTTCATTATCCATCCGACCCTCTCTCTATTCCTGATGTCACCATTTATATGACATATGTCTATGCAGAACTTTTTTCTGTTTGTAAAATCATTTTGCTTTAAAGCTTAAGCATGAAAGTCCCTAATGTGGATTGCATGTACTGCTCCTAATTTTTTTAATTTCTAGAAAAGAACATGCTTTTCTGAGTGCATTTGCAGTATGCAGAGGTAGTCTTTTAGAAGTGATTTTAATATATATTAAATATATACACATATTTAATATATATATGTACTTATTTATTTCAGAGAGGGAGAGAGAGAAACATGAATGATGAGAGAGAATCATTGATTGGCTGCCTCCTGCAAACCCCACACTGGGGATCGAGCCCCACAACCCAGGCATGTGTCCTGACCCTGAATTGAACCTCGACCTTCTGATGCTCAACCACTGAACAACGCCGGCCCAGTCTAAAAGCAATTTTTATTTTTATTTTATTTTATTTTTGTAATCCTCACCCGAGGATATTTTTCCATTGATTTTCAGAGAGAGAGTAGAAGAGAGAGGGCAAGACAGAGAAATATTGATGCATTTCTCTCACACTAATTGTTTGCCTCCCACATGTGCACAGACCAGGGTCTGGGATCTAGCCTGGAACCCAGGTACTTGCCCTTGACTGGAGTCGAATCCAGGACCCTTTGGTCCGTAGGGCAGTGCTCTATCCACTGAGCAAAACTGGCTAG